GGTAGTCACCAGTTTGGGTTGTTTCGCTCACCTGTCGGACAGCGCTTGTTGGAACATGAGCCCCCGTGTCCCCCCACACACACGCACGCCTGCTCTCGTTTTGCACGTCGACGCACGCACCCAAGTTAATGAGACCTGCGTTGGGCTTAAACCGGTCCGGATTTTCTCATCATACCTTTAGCATATGCTTGGGTATTAATCAGGTCGATTGCGTTTCTCTCGGCAAACGATTAGGGCTATTTTCGCTGACCTATCTGCAAAACAAGTCGAGAAAGGTACGCGTTCCCCGTACAAGTCCAGCACCTGAATGTGGTCAAAATGGGCAACCGAGTTTCATGCGCACTCCTCTCTAATCGTTGATTGTTCTAATACGATAACAGCGCGGTCACTTTTGGATGTAACAGAATAACACCTTCCGCAATACCTAGTGCCTTTCACACTGAATACGAGCTAATCCACTCATTAACTTCTCAATTGATGCAGCTGGTGTCTCAGCCTGTCACTCCTCAACCGATTGAATAAAGTTTAAGGATTTGTAATTCGAGTCCCGGCCGGCATGGACATGATAAATACGTGCTGCTAACCAGTCTCGTTAAGAATGAAACAGATGACTAAAAGATATTGGGAAGGATAGGCTTTCAACACTCTCACGACCTTCACATTCTCGTTTTATTTGTTCCCACACGATCGTTTAGTATCGNCATCTTAATTCCCATTCAATCCTGTGAGTACTCCATAATTTGATGCCGACTTGCATACAACACTAATAAGTAGAGGGTTCGTTTCTTATGTATATCAAAAGAGAAACAATAAATCACGTATTGAATTTCGTCGTGTATTGGGCAAATGAAGCGTGATCTGTAAAGCTAGGAGGCAATGGACAGCTGTGTTTGATCTGGTTGGGTCTCAGAAGCAGCAGTACGAATCTATCGACCTAACTGGGTCTCCAATCGGTGGTATACATTTCCATCCGTGTAAGGCGGGGAGGGGGGGAAAGGAACAGGATCAAATGGAGGGTGTGTGAAATTCGGTTCTCTTCTGTAATCGAAATGTTTCAACCGATTTTTTGTCTAATTTTTAACGTATGAGATATACTGATCGGTTAGTCAATTTATCCACTGATCGCTTCTCTATGGGGCAGACAATGCACAATAAGATGGTCGCTCCTAGGACATGTAAGAACCATCTGTTCTGGTCATACAAACTCGTTCATTGCACGTGTCCCTTCGGATTAGGGCTGTCATGTCTGAACATATTCCACAGACGCAGTTGTTGTCTGTCCCGCGCTCGAATGGGCTCACTCTGGCACGTCTTACAATAGTCCCTTAGATCTTTTTGGTACCTGCTGTTCTCAAAGCCGTTGGTCAGCGGTGGGTCACGATAGTTGGTTGCCGACAGGACCTGGTTTTTTCGAGGTTTTGTCTGATTTTCAACAGTAGTTGCGTTTGATATCTCACGCTCAGTCCCTGTTTTATCCAACTGCATTCGTCAGTCAATAAGTCAGTAACATGCGGAAATTCGCTACCACAAAAGTGACCATTCAGAAAACTTTGGTGTTTCAGCGATCAAAGAAAGCTGTAGAATAAGCATGATTTATGAATCGCGATGAAACGCCTGTATAGGTTCATGAAATGAGTTTGTTTTTATTTTCCTCAGTGCATACGCTCATGAAAAATTAATGTCTGTAGAGAAAGTCTCTTTGGCGTAACTTAAATCATCAGAAGTGACTATCTTCTCACATTTAACTCTAAGTATTCACTCATGGGGATTAAGGTTGATTAGATCGTAGTGATGGTGATGATCAGACGGTTCAAGCTACCGTCTCTGGCGTGTTTCGGTCCCTATAGTTCGAAGTTGGAACCCCACCACTGCCACCCAATTTTGTTGTCAAATACCTCCGATTTTGTGCGATTCAGTAGCGTATCCACTATAGTGCAACCTTGTGTGGTTCAGCAGTGCAAATCCCGGGGCTTAGGTTGTCGGTTTCCATGATTAGGCAATAGATTCTCGTGAGGTTCAAATCACTGTTTTCACATTTCGGTGGGATTTCCCCTTAATTAGATTATTTCCTACAAGTGAAACCTATTGGAACTCGTCACACGCAACAGATATTGCTGTATGCGAGTTTTAGTAAAATGGTGATTTCATTCTAGGAATCATTTTCTGTTTTCCATCTTCTACACGTCAAACCTAAGATACTTTTAGTTTTATTCGTTATTATAATACAGAGAAAAATTAATTATGCGATGGAAATGTTTTTGATAACCGACAAAGAGCAGCCATTTCGTCCTGTTTAGGACTTGTCAGCTTGAAACTCTAAAAATTTATCGTTATTATTATTTTTTGGTTGAAACTCACACGGATTTGTTCACTTTCTCTTCTTCTGTCTCTTCCACCTCATCATCTTCCGTGCCTGTTTCGGTCGTGGCTGACTGTTCGCAGGGATCTACAATCACGATGAGTATTCATTAGTTCGAGAGCATGATGAACACGAACGGGATCGATCATTGACTCTACGTCGCACCGGAACCGGTATGGTCACTATCGGTCGGGATCAGGAGAAAATGGAAAAACTGAAGCGAAAATTGCACACGGACGATGACAGTGAGTGCTCCTCGTCCCATTATCTGTGATTGGTGCTCATGCGAAGCGTGTCTGTGTGTGTGCGCGCGCTCCTGTGTCTGTGAGCGTTAATCGCATGACTCTTGTTTCGCTTCATAATCACAAATTTCCCATTCGTACTTTACTTGATGACAATGAGCTAAAGTGCTTCGAATCGATCATAAATTGACTTCCGATGGTGTGACTGACTGACTGATTGATAATCAGACAGAGGACTACCAGACGGCAAACTGGTGACGAGAGATTTGTCAGATTGCATTTCAATAGTGATCATTTAGTACATTACGGCTTGCACAATTATCTCTGTCGCACTTCCTCAGATTCTGTATGCTATCTTTTTGCAACCGATTTTGTCAGGCTATGACGAGAATATTAGTATTGATCGAAGGGTGAAGAGATAATTACAGGTCACAATGTAGAAAAATTCAAATAATTTGGTGAAATTGATTGGATCCACCGGTACTTCAATACCGATTAAACTTTTCTAACTTAGATAGATCAATTTACTGGTTAGGCTTATCATAGCTCAACATGTCTTGATCTGACCACGTTTGGACTTCTTATATGCATGCATGCATACAGACACGCAGCGAGCTTATACTTCCTGGGGTTAGATATCTCCATTGCGAAAGAAGAAAGTTTTTCCCATTTGTGCCACTACATCTGTAGCCGATTCGGACAGATTCGACTTCACTGATGACCAGTCAAAGTACGTCCTGGGACACTTTTTTATCTTTCAGGATGCCGTTGCTAGGTTGAATCAATATATTCCCCAACTCCTATTATTGTTCATTCGCTCTTTAACCTGTATCAAACAAAACGGCCCCATTGGTTAGGTTTAAGCCTAATCCTAATAACTTCAAAGCTGTCGATGTCCGTCATTCTTCGCAGATTATACTACACGCATGACCAACAAACCCGCAAGGAGCGGTTAGTTTTTTTTCTGCCGATCGTGGATTCATCGTTCACATCATCACCCGTCGACAGTTACTAAAGCACTGTCTTGGCTTTCTGTAGCCCGACGGCCACTGTGACGTTGGACATGAACGAGGTCTTCGAGTTCATCGTTCGGAATGTGTTATGGAACTTTTCGCTGTGAAATGGAATACCTGAGAAATATGTTTCTATCCTCAGGGGGGCTCTATCTTCATGCCTCAGATCGTGTTAAGATCTATGGTCAGCTTTTGGCTCCATTTGTCGACTCCAGTGAAGTGTCACGAGAGTGGCCCCGGTTCCTCTCTCTCCCTTGTCATAGGTGTTCTGTAGAATGATATGTCCGGTTAATCGAACGGTGAAGTTAAACTCCTCTTCAGGAATAGAGTTCCCGGTTTCGAATTTGCCTGTGCTGGGTAAGAATACGCAGTCGGTCTAATATGCTTTTAACCACTTGACGATCGAGACATATAAAGATTATATTTCCTTGACGCCAGACTGACAGGACCCTATATCTGCACTCACCCGTTGTAGTGATCTGTTAGAGATAACCAGTAGCTTAAGGTATGTTGGCGTCTTAATCGCAGTTGAAGGTTGGGGGACCTGGTCTCATCACGCTGCAGATGTCAATCGACTTTCCGTATTCGATCACCATGGTTTTCGAAGCACTTATCGCATCTCGCGGTAGCAATGATGTGCGTTGATTGTTGTTCTCAGAAAAAAAGAAAATCCCTCTAAATCGTCCCCGATGGTTTGGCTCTGTTTAGTGTATAGCTCTCCGTTATCTATCTCTCCACATTCTCCTAGCACTTGTTTAGCAAGGCCAGAAGAAGCGATGTGGCGGTCAGATCATGACTTGGTGTTTGTATATAAGGAATTAACTGTTTCATACTGACTTGGGCTGAACGAGGATTGTCATTAGTTGGCGACGCCGATAGATAGGGTTCAGAAGGGATGTTAGTGGAGCGAATCCTTTACGGATTGTCCGTTGCCATAAGTTGAACAACCACCAAAGAAATTAAAAAATGAAATGCATAGTGAACGTGAACGTTTCTATTTTTGTTGATGTTCTCTATTACTTGTTTCTCTTCAATTTACTCATTCTCATTGTGACCACTTTGGTACTGTGTTTGTTTTCAAGTCTGTTTATATTACGCAAATATATATATATATATATATATATATATATATAACATAGAATTAGCTCACAGCAGTAGCACCTGCAAACACGATGAGAATATGCATGTTTCGATTTTGTAAGTGCTCTAGATTGTCCTATCTCTCGGTCGCTGTGTGTGATGAGAGAGAAGGAGAATTATCCGTGTATCAAATGCTCAATTACTTGCCCAAGTGTGAATAATACCGTAATTCTTGGCATTTTCGCTGCGTTCATCTAAATCGAAACCGAGAATCACATATGTTACCCCTTTGCGGCAGTCACATGTCGTAACTGTTGTACTGTTTTCCATTTCTTCTTTTACTCAAGGCTGTGGTCATTACTTTCTGACACGCTTGTGGTCTGTGTAAGTGCACGATCACACCTACACAGCTTTTATCCAAGCACGCGTGACCTTTCTGGTTGACGTGACCGTTTTGGTTCACTTCCTGTTCTGCGGCTTCTGTGCTGTTCTTTCGGTTTTGCTTGTGGCTTGCACACACACACACGATGGTCTCGTAAATTATCACGTGACGAAATATTCCAACGACACATCGGCATAAACTGCCCTTGTATGTCGTCCTCCTTCTACACATGCACATGCTAATGGCTGTACTGGTGTGACTCTGTGATTATAATGTCCTTCAAATCACACTACTCCGTATGATAAGTTGCTGTGAAAATCACTTTTGGCATTATGCTGGCTATCATGATCCTTAATGCGCGAAAGTTGCGGCCCCACGAAATTCGTCATCGATCGCTACGCGCATGGTTTCGTTTTCCCAACCCCCTTTTCCCGTCCCTTAAAACAAAATGATTGATTATCAGTTCGATCTGTTGATTAACAACAGTCCACATTTTTCGGTGATTTATTTCCACAATCTAGGATGGCGAATGTTCGGTTCGTCCGGAAGTAAAACGCACTGCAAGAAATGTGCTCCTTTCCCCTCGACTCTTCCCTGGCTATCTATCCATTGTTTGTCTTAGGAGTGAGAATGATACAGCACTTTTTACCTTCCACGAAGTAACTGTTGCGAGGACGTGACGTGGACTGTTGTCTCACGGCCACACTTAAACGCATTAACGCCGTGTTTTTTTATGCGTGGGTCTGGTCATCAATTAGCTATTTTATTCTCCCAGTTCTGCGTTCCTAACCGAAGTCTAGCTGATCAGGTTTATTACACGAGTGAAGACGAAAGGGTTACAATTTATGCGAGTCATGACTGTCTTCCTTATTCCGTGTTCAATCTAATTGCATATTTATCCCTTTTTTGTCTATCACTTGTATGTATGTGTACACATCTTTTTCGATCGCTTGGCATTTGACTTCGATCAATATGCATCGCCTGGTCACGGGCTGCAAATTTACGATTGATTCCTCTTTGGGACTAGGCGAATTTCTTGGGTGGATGGGCAGTTTTCTCGTCTGTTTTTGTGAAAGCTCTCGTTCGCATACACTTGAGTGTGACTAGTGTTCAATGCAGATTAAACGCTACCTAGCGTTCCGTTCGTCCATCTTGCCGTTTACTAGTTGATACTTCATTTGTGACTTCTGAACAGAGGTGGATTAAATAGTTTGTTTAATTTAATCGGTATTCTCTCCTCTCTCGAATATCGAATTCTCGAATACTTGTGCAGGTCAGATGATCAGGCTGATCCGAACGCAGACAGACAGACAAACAAGCAAGACAACGTTCGATAGTATCCTTGCGTGCGTGTCCGGATATCCTTCCAGTATTCTGTGTTTGACATTTGCAATTGAGACCAATATGAGAATGCGTAAATCGCGCCACTGCGTGACTTGTGATTTATCGCTTTGGTTTTGTTATTTTTCTTTCCCTCCCTCTCTGTTCGTCCCTCTGTGACCTATTCTCCTCCACCTCCGTATCTGGTTACTCCATCCAGTGGACTGGTTAAATCCGTCTCAAAGTTTACGGCAACAGGGTATTGATGAGAAAGAAGTACTTTTGCTCAAACGGCGCTATTTCTTTTCCGATATGAATGTGGATGCCAGAGATCCGGTCCAATTGAATTTACTCTATGTTCAAGTACGCACTGGCATTCCGTATATTTTTGTCGTGAATATTATTCTTATCATTATTATTATTATTATTATTATTGTCATCATCAGTCGGAGTAACGTTTCTTTGAGGTCACTTCGAAGTTTGCTTGTTTATAAATTTAACTAATTAATTAAATGCAAATTATGTGAACGAACAACTGTAACATTGATCATTACTGTCTGTGTTGTTTTGTAGCCCAGCTGATAGGGCATGCGTTGTACAAAGCGTAGGTGGCGTCCATGCGTGGGTTCGAATCCAACTGAGGCTACTGAAATTTTCACAATTTCAACGTAAAACTTCACTCTGCCAAACAAACATTTTAGTGGGAAACATGGAGTGGATCATCAGTTTTCACAAACCACTGGCTCTAATCGACAATCTCCATGGATTTTGGCGAGTCGGTTTATGGTCGAACTGTTTGATCTATCTCACCATCAGCTGCAATTTAAACCCCACAATTCTCGAGGCGAATTTACAACAGAGTTCACTCTTTTGCGCTAACCCTACTCCAATATCTATACCAGGAGAGATTTCTTACCAATAGAACAGCGCTGGTTCAACTTGATAATTCTGACCTACCTTGTTACAGACGATTCTAGTCGATATTATCTTTGGTTAGATTTCGCCCAGTAGCGCCATCGTTTTTGAATTATTGAACTGTATATTTTTTCCGCCACGGATACCATTCAGGTGAATTCCTATTTGGTTGAATAACAATAGGGTTCCACTTATTAAGGAGAGCTTTTCCAAACCCTGTGAGATTAGCTTGTCTCAGGTCTCGATCTAATGCATTTGAACGAGCGAACGATCGATCGATCATGCCAATACGCAATGGCTTTGCGATGAAGCACGCTGTCGCTCCGGGATTCGTGTCTGGACGCGCGCATGTTTCTGTTGCGATCGGAACGGAGTGCAAAATGTCAGACTTGTTAGAAACGAGTAAACATCTACAGTGGCGTATTAATGCCCTACAGGTATTTGAATTATGGTAGTACTATCGTGCTCCATCTGTACACCAATTCTTTTCACGCAATTATTTCTCTCATTTTTTTTATATATCCTCTTTGTTTAACCCATTTCTTTCCCCTGCTCCTCCCNCCCCCCCCCCCCCCCCTCCACTGACACACTATCGTGTGTCTCGGTCATACAGTTGAAAGACGCTATCCTGAAAGGCACTCACCCGGTATCATTGGAGGAAGCAATTCATTTGGCTGCAATTCAGTGCCAAGTCCAATTTGGTGACTATGTCCCCGAGAAGTTCAAACCAAATTTCTTGGAGTAAGTCTTTCGTGTAGGTTCGATGTTGTTGTTGCTTATTTGCACGGCGGTGAAACGAAAGCCAAAATGTTCCAAAAAATCAAATCGTTACTTTGACTCCTTTTGTTGCCAAATTCGATTTCATTTCTTTTCCGGGGTAGAACTCGAACGGTTTGGTACAGTGCCCCCACCTCAGAATAAAGGATAGTCGTGACCGGTCAACTATGTTCGCTCCGCGGAGGTGTTTGTTCTGGAGAGGGAGACCTTCTGAATATAGCACGGAACAAGGTTGAATTAGCAAGATACGTTTTTTTATCACATACAAACCCGTTTACTTTTCTAATTGTTCCTGTTAGATTACAGGAGCCTCGTGCGTTTAGAATCAGCCTCCGGACACAATCATCGTTTCTTCCGAAACTGACCTCCCCTGTCTTTATTCCGAGTTCTCATCTAATATAAACGTCTAATTTCTTATCTGTCTTATCCAGTTCGAGCGTGAATTCCAGGTACAATTCCGAGCAGAATTCTACAACGCGAATTAAATTCCTCTCCCTTTTTTGCACCTATTGCTATTGCGTGTTTGTCAACACCTCTGCGACTGATCTAGTTTGCTGAGTAGGATAATTGAATAATAAGTTGGTCCTTACGAGAGCCAGCTATGCCATTTTCCTAAGGTCTATCACAAAAGAAATGTCTGAAATAAATTGATAGTGAATAATTATAACTGTAAGAACATCTACTAGTTACCGTACTTGGACGACCCAATTCGGTCATCTTGTAGGACAGATGATCTGTGCAAGGAAGGTCTTATTATTAGTCGATAACGAAAGTGGTCGGTTATCGCTTGAATCACTTACAGAATGATGGTGTTAGTTAGGTGACGTCAACCCGAACTCTCCATTGGCGTACTGTGTTTACTCTCATCTTTTTCAGCTCGGGATTTCGTTCAGTTCCACAGGAAATGTCATGATACTATTGGAATCTTTTCACCTTACTTGGTATTGCATTACGATTTCGTCGGAGAAAACCGGAGATTGTCGGTATAACTTTCCTTTGCAAGTTGGCAAACATTTCCCACGTTTCACTGTCTGTAGAAAGATACTAGAACCTATGGCGGGGTTCGAATTCACGCCTTTCGTACTGCCTCTACTCTACTTTCTGATGTGTGTTTGTGTGTGTGTGGCTTCGCCGACCTTTTCGACTTCTCATAGAGTTCGCTGATCCTTTCATAGACGGATCGCAAAAAGAAATAGTGAAATATTGGACCATTTAAAGTTGCTTGTATTCTTATTGGGTCATAATTCGTGTGCAAGCACATGATCGTAATAACTCATTTACATAATGCTCGCTGATGGCGTTCAACTGAATGAAACCCCTTTTACATGACGAAGAATGAATCAGTCCCTTCTCAGTCACATTGTATAACCATACAGCTTGCCCCCGTTCGCGTCCCCCATTTGGCTCACATATACCCTATAAATCACCCACCACATCACAACTGTCGTTAACCGTCTCTCCATGTACTTATCCACTAATCCGTAAATGTTTTTATGCATTCCATACAGTATCCCTTTGTCTTTCGCCTGTGTGCATCTGAGCCAGGGAGCAGTGTTTTTTTACTCTCACAGACCCGAAACGTGCTAAATTCCTATTCAATGTGAATGACAATGTGGATATGTGTGGGAGTATCTGACAACGACATGTTTTTGACAAATGTTCCTTCCACACGGACATACACCTCGAGTATGGGGGGGGGGCGTACCAATTTTTCTGTTTATCTGCATTCCTGCCTGACAACAGTACACAATATATTTTCATCCAGCTTAAGTAGCACCTGTCCTCGAAAAAGTGATGTGGCTTCAGCATTGCCATATTGCAAAACGATCATTTTATCCTTATTCTCCGAACTGTTTGATTCTGTGCTCATTTCCGCGCTTGATGTTTCGCGTGTGTCTGGGTCCAGAAAGAGTTCAGTGCACGACACAACCAGGAATTCTTAAAATCGAAGTTAACCACGGCATGTGAATTTCAATTTCGGGCCTCTGGGATGTGGTTGATACGTTCAAAGTATCCAATTTGCCTTATCGTCCAGTCAAGTCTGTAGAAATTGTAACCAGATTCGATTCGATTCGTAAGCTGAGGTTTGAAACTACCGATGTTAGGTTACCTTTACGGTGCTAGTTGCTTATAGCTTAGACGAGTCTTTGGCCGGTTTGAATTAGCACTGTTACCACGTGTGATATCAGTGTACATTCGACCGTACACAGATTACGCCATCCAAGCTTGGAGACCATGGTTGCAACGTGATCGTAAAATGCTGGAGCGTCCACAAAGGATTGCCACCAAGATGGTCAAGGGATTGCACTACCTCACCCATGAGGAGAGATTACGATCATTGGGACTACATTCTGCTCAGCATCGCTAGATTCGTGGAGACTTGATTTTGACGTATCAATTACTGCAAAACCCAAGCCATTCATGTCGCAGCTGCTCATGTTAGGGGACATCGTTCCCAAGGTGTCGACTGGAATACTGGCGCCGATCTTTTGCAGTCAGAGTATGCAGTATGGGAACACCCTTCCATCTCTAATCGTTTGTGCACCAACTATTAAATCTTTCAAGCGGAGAGTCGATGAAACATTGGTATACCTCACATTTCTACACCGCTAAAAGCAAACGCAAATTCGTTGAAGACTACCTTATTTGTTATCTCCTACCTGGAACTCTATGCGATTTTTTCTTCGCCGAGAAACAATTCAATTGTGTAAATATCCTATGGGGACAAGAGAAGCATGAGCTTGAAATTAATTTCCATAATAAAACTTTGACTTTGAATCTTTTTGGTTCTAGTCCTGGGTGTATTGATTTTTCGCCCTTATTGGAATACAAACATACTCATAAAGTGGATGCAGTCGGTGTGACTTCCCCAACGGATTCTTTATGAGACCACTTCCAGGGGAGTATTTGTTACCGAGGAGAGTGAGAACATCTATCCTCAAAAGAACTAGGCGGTTGGGGTACTTTCTTGGACTCATTGAGCCTCATGTGGGCGGCGTTGGCAACCACTTCACACTGCATACCATGACAAAATAAATAGGTAAAACATCCGTTCCGGTACAATTAACTTTCTTATTATCATCATTTAATATCTTGTTCATTCACTGTGATCTCATAGCTGATCAGCTTTCGTATCCCTTTGCCCTAACCTTGTCACTCATACGAAGTAAGCCACGTAAATATAATATTTAACCTTCTCTTTTTTGTTTGTGCGATTCAGCAGTGTTCCAGGGAAGAGGTTAAAATGAAAGCATGCATACACTCACGCGCGCGCGACTACGTTGAGCAGTTACGGCAACGTGTCAACCAGCGCGCACACACACACACTCCCATCGATGTTATTCGCACACCACGCGCAGATTGTAAGGGAGAATTACCGCGTGGTTGTCGATTGCCTTGTTCTGTCCGAGAAAATTCTCTCTCTCTCTCTTTGTCAATTCCACTTTAAAAAGAAAATATGCTGAGATAGAACCCCCGTGTTTTTTGTCGGTGATCCTGTTGTATTTTAACTCTTGTATCCGTCACATCTGTGAACATTGATTTGCATTATGCTTCATTCTGTATTTGTAACTCGTATTTACAACGTGATTCATTTGTGCACCGTAGTTCGCTATCTCTCTTCGTCTACCGTATATGTTACTTTTAATTTATAGATTATTTCATAAAAGGAATTCGTCGCGTATAGAGCAAATGAAGCGTTATGCGTTTGAATGGAATATATAGAGTCCGATCAACTGCCCGGTGGCCGAGCGGGTAGCATGTTTGCGTTCTGCCTGTGAGGTCTCATGTTTGATCCCTAGTTTAGTCGATGGATTCGCATTGCTGATGAGACCCAACCAGGTTGGAATGGATATGTAGTGCTTCCTGGCTTTGGAGTTCGCGCTTCATTTGTTCTTTACAAGACAAATTCCTCCTATAAAATTGAATCAAATCCTCCAACACTATCATGCATCTATAGATGAGTTTGACTAAATTTAGGACCATCCGCTATGTTGATATATGCTCATTCTCCAGGATGCACCTTCTCCCACAATCATCAACCACAACCCATGAGGCACTAAACCCGAGTTTCACTCCTAGTAGAGCTCACCGGTAGTACGTATTCATTTATCTGTGTGGGTTCTAAGCTCCGGGTCCTTCGTATGGAAGGTGTGTGTGTGTGTTACCACTGTACCAACCATCTCATGTCCGGACTTACCAGAATNGAGTTTGTTAAGGTACCGTCTTCGGTGATAATCGCAGCCAGTTCATTTTGGCTTGACATTAACGAAACGAGACACGGTGGACTATCTGTTGTCTGCTCGAACTACTCCCACCAAATCAGTTCTTGTATGCATGCGCGGGTTAAGTTGCTTCACATGGACCTATTCGACTGGATTAATAATTCTCATTTGTGAGTAATGGTGTGTGTGTGTGTTGGATAAACGATTTGTATAGGGATTTGGACTGACTATCCTCTTCAGAATTCATCTCCATTCTCGATCATAATTAGATCATCCAATTAACAAGGAGCTAGATGGCACACGCATACATTGATTTCAGGTTTTGGATTTCAAATCCAGCACAGGCCGTTAAATATAAGCAATACTGGTGAGCTGTCGCGTGAGTAAAACTTAAGTTTAGTCCTTCCTGAGTCTGTTTGATTGATTGGATGAGCTAGCTAGCGCTCAATATCGTATTTTTCTTGATCTCTTGAGGGATGGGGTTCAATCAGTGCGATCACACATTCCAGACTAGTTTCCCATGTCCGAGGAGCTCACTAAACATCCTATGACTCAATCGAACCAGTGAGTATGCACTGCGCGACTTCGTACATTTTTCTTTACAGTTGCAATTTTGTACTTTTTAGCATATATACTGTCGGTGACTGAACACCACTGGCTCCGCCACATTCCCCGAGTCAGGTAAGAAAACTGGACAACCAATGCCGAGGTTAGGCTCAATCGCCCTTTAGGGCCATTGGTCGACTTCCATTGATTACGTTGGTTGAGGCATGCTTTACGCTTGTCGATTGCCACTGTGTTCGATGTTTGCCGGGGCAAGTAGTGGGTAGAAGAGGTCAAAATGATGCCCGCCATGAGGTTTTGAAAACCTTGACCATGAGAGTCGTTCACATAGATCGCGTTGGGACGTCGGGATCAACGGTGCTCAGAAACACTGAGTAATAATATAACAGTGTCAAAAACAGTGATACTAGTGCATCTGACCGATTTCTTTGCAACCTTGGGCTGTCGAAATTGTGCACTTTCTCTTTTACGCTGCATTCACCATTTCAATCTTCCCACCACCTTTTCATTTAAATGGGCAGCCAAAAGACACTAACCAAAACCGTCACACAAAAGTGCATGAATAACGGTTGTAAAACCTGAATTGAACTGACCGGCATACCAAATTTCAGAACAGAACTATACACCATGCGCTAATTTAGCGAGCAGAAAATTCCCCATGGAGGGCGAGAAGATTGTGTAGGATCCCCCCCCCCTTTATTCTGATATGCTTTCACGTCGAAAATGTCGCAAAACCAGACAGACCAGCGGGACTACCAACTAACCGATTGTTGTGGTATCTGGATTTGGCATCTGATAAACTTATAAGATCTGGAATCATATGACTTTTGTATACTGGAGCACGTGATGTACCCTAATTGTCGAGTGTCTATGACCTTCGTTCACGTAGATTACATGCAACACCTCTCGTAGAGAAGGTAAATGATTTCACGAATGACGAACCGTCTGTATCTTATCAAATGGGACCCGGTGTACGTGAAATCACCACTCTATGCACGAGATAGAGAATTGCCACACAACAGTATCTAGGGGAAAGGGGTACCGCGCATAGTAAGCCTGAATAGCGAAAAGGGTTGTACCAAGAATCTAATAAATCGGAAGAACACTGATTAGCTCACAAGGATAGAAGCTTCATGTTGACGTCGCTCGCTGGAGACACTGCGGGATATCTTCGAACCGAAGTCAGTGACGTGTATACACCTCGTCTTGTGTGTAATCTCAAACATAAAATTTCATATTTGCGTGCAGTAGTAACCGAACAACAACAACAAAAAATTGTTAGTATCTACCCCAAAATCGGTCATTTTTTGCGCCGCTTCTGTATTTTTCTTTCAATCCATGGTTTTTTAGCACCGAATCTCTAATAATTGGTGTTTTAAATATTTAGGGGTTAAAACAAATGTAGTGTAAATAGAAGGTTGGACCAATGTCTGCTTCAATGCTGAAAAGAAGATTTGGGTGCAATCGAACGATGCTTGTAATTATTGTAGTTTACACCTGTGTGCCAAGCGAATCATGGTACAATGGTCTTTATGAAAAGGATAAGGTTACGTGATTTGCTTGTTGGTGCGATACTGTCAGGTTACTCAGGCCACCTGAGTAACCTGACAGTATCGCACCAACAAGATGAATTTTTATGGGGAAATCATAATTGAAGCCTTTGACTAGCCAAAATCTGACCCGCTAGGCAGCGGGGCGGTGTGTGGAAACCGCACTCCGTTGGAGGCAGGTGTCCATTTCACTCAATCATACCTCGCTTGGACGGGATCGAACGTCCAATGTGCCCAATTGAGCCGGTAGCCACTGCCACAGCCAAGAAAGTGTGGATGGTTGTGTTTGGAATCAGGGTTTTCACCCATTTCCGCTATGTGAACGGTTAGTGGTTTACCGACGCGGTTATAGTTTCGGAGGGTGGCTTTTCGTCCTCTCACTTTGGTGGGAAAAGATCGCCACGAGAAGGTAGTGAGTGGGGCTTCCTCAGCACTAACTACTTGAGACGCTTGGTCGTGTAGGATCCTTCCGTGAGGTGCAACAGAAGGGTGATCGGCCACTACCGAAGTCACCCACCTCGATGATACTGAAGCATATGATGTCAAAATGAAAGACGGGGTAATTAAAGAATCAACAATGGGAGATCTGTGGTGGTTTGCGAAGCTTTGTAAGCCACGCCCAAAATGAACTAGCAGTTCCTAAGGGCTAATTTCTTTGATTATATTAGCCCCCATCATTAACCGGTAAAATGCACCAGTACACCATATTTCCACGTGACATTGTTTCTATCCGCTTCGCATATGCCGCAGGATCAGGATCAAGCAGTGTTCAGCCTGCAAACCAGATATAAACGTGGTTCAGAATTTGCGGGCATACTTGCTCTCCAGTTTCGCAATGAATGATTCCATGGCTTGTCAGCTAACGAGTAGACCAATCATCATCGTTGAGTGTGAATGGGTCGAAATTGACTATGAGGCAAACACAGATTTTGTAAGAAGTATACCCAGATGATGTATTGATGTTCTCAAACAGAATTCGGTTCCACCCGATTTTCGGTAGTAATAACACAATCTGAGTTGAGTAAGGTTTTATACTAATATCACCCTTCGCTTCGTATTTTCTGCTTCGATTAGCACTAAGTCTATGATTTCCTTCTAAAATATAGTTTGTCACATCACATCTCGTATTCCTCCTTTCTGACTAAATATGATTTTGTTACAAAATGCGGAAACGAAAAAATTGAAAGAAATGAAAGTCTAATAATTATTTCGCATATTGTTTGTCTCATTCGTGTGACGAGTTGTGGATGCTTCAAAATCAAGGTTTGTCAACGTCGTGATATATATTACCAAGTGATAATCTATGATCTAGGCTATTGCCTGGAAGTTTTGCTTTCCAAATCACTTCCTTATGAGCAGACAATGAGTGGGACTTCTCCATCAGAGGTTGAGAATCCACGTTCTGACGGGAATCTTGACAGAAGTCCGGAACGTTGAGATCTGTTCACCGAAATTCTCCACTTCAACAATACTGCGACGTTTGGGCATGTTATGAACGCTTTCAATTGTCGAGGGTTTCATTGATCAAATAATGCGGTTTTTATCCTCAGCAGATCGATCACCTAGTCGCCATCGTATGCTTCTGAATACGACCCCTAAAACATAGTTGCAAGTCAGACCAGATTGTTTTGTGTTCACGCAAACC